TAAAGAAGATGACACCCAACATCCCAATACTTAACAAGCACCTGTCAGTGTCAGTCCGGATCTAAAACATCTTGACATAAAGTCTAATAATGAGCAGAAAAGCAGAGTAGGACTCACCTGCGCGCGCGTGCGGGTGTGTGAGTGAGTGTGTGTGTGTGTGTGTGTGGGAGTGGAGGTGTGTGTGAGCTGCACGCCGTCTCTCCTCTCTCTGCTGCCTTTGTCTGCTTCAGTCTGAGCCCAGCCGCTGCTGCCGCCCGGCAGGAGCCGCTGGGTCCTAAAGAGCCGCGGAGCCGCCCCTCTGCGGGGGAGGTGCGGGGCTGGGGCCCGCACCAGCACCAGCACCAGGACCAGGACCAGGGAAGAGATCCGCATGGATTCAAAGGGGTCATTTTACAGCGCTGCATTTGAGATGCAGGTTAGAAGTGAGAATAAAAGACTGAAGGAAATATTTAATTTCTTTCAACTTCACGTGGACTAATAAATGATAATCTGGTTTTAAAAGTTCTTAAAATTATTCAAATTAAACATTTCACCATGTTCTTATTTATTCAGCTAAAGACAAAGACTAATTGGACACACCCCATGATTCTGCAGCTTGTAGAACCTCCTTCCACTCCATCAGTCTCTCTATCTCTGATGACTTTTGGCCCACTCTTCTTTACATCATCGCTTTAGCTCAGGAGTGTCCAATCCTGTTGCTCAAGGATCACCGTCCTGCATGTTTGAGCATGTCCCTGCTCCAACACACCTGATCTGATGGTCAAATCATCTCTTCATGTTCTGCAGAAAACTGTTAATCGCCCCTTGATTTACAACAGGTGTGTTGGAGCAGAGGAACATCAAAAGTTCATGCATTAATCCAGGTAAATCCAACAATGTTCAGTCAGGTCATCCGGATGGTTTCTTTTTTTCCTGCCTTCATCCAAAGGACTTCTTCAGTCCTTCAGAGGAACATCTACATGCCGGATAGCGGCCCCCGAGGACCGTGATTTGACACCCCTGCTTCAGGTCATTGAAGTCTGCAGGGATTTGGCCAGCCACCGCATTTCAGTCAATTTGAGTTGCGGACTTTAACTGGTCCATGTTCATTTTCAGACATTTGCTGCTGTGTTTGGGATCTTTGTCTTGTTTCAGGACCAAATTTTGGCCCACTCTTCTTTACATCATTGCTTCATCTCAAGGGTGTCCCTTCTTGGTCCTTGAGGACTTGCAGCTGTTTTCCTGCTCCAACACACCTGATCTGATGGTCAAATCATCTCTTCGTACCTGTTAATCACCCATTGATTTGAAGCAGGTGTGTTGAGCAGACGCACATCATGCTGGATAGTGGCCCTTGAGCGCGCGTGTGTGGTGACGCAGCAGCCATCTTGGAATTTCACGTGGCAACCCAATTTTCAACAGAGACCTTTCTTACGCTTATAGATGTAGCCGCACACCAAAACAGAACCACAAGACAGACAGACGGACAGATGGAAGGAGGGAATTTCCAATTCCCTCTCTTCTGTGGGGGACAAAAAGGCTGCGGATGCATCAAAAAATAAAAGTAAAACCAAACTTACAAATGGAAACCAAATGCGAAAAGGTAGAAACAGTCCAAGAAACTGAAACACAGGCGGGATAAGGTGAGCAAACAGTGGAATCAGACTAGTAAAGTATCAGGGGTGGGGGTGGGGTGATGAATAAGTGAATGCAGCTGGGCTGATTAGCAAATGAGTGAGTAACAAGGAGCTGAAAGCATGACTGAAGGAAAATCAACCCAACTCGAAGAACCTCAACGTAAAACAATGAAACAAATGGAAACAGAGAAGTAAACACACTAACAAGTGTTGCAGATCTACAAACACACACACACACATAAGATTACGTCAGTGTTATTAATGTGCATTGTGGGTGAACATCACTAACTTGGTCTCATTTGTTTTTGTTCACTTGAACGTAGATTTGAATAATTTCAGATTGTTTCTCTGATGTCCTGACATGTGAAACTCTGATTTAAAAGAAGGCGTATACTTTCTTTTTCTCATGACGGTAAATTATCGCCGCTCTCATGTGACAAACTGTACCTTTCAGACCAAACCGCACGTTGTTGGTCCTGGTCCTGGTCTGGTGGAGCTCTTTTGTTCGGGGCAGATGAAAGCTTGATTACCTCATAGATTTCTGTTCAGATCTTCTTTTTTTTGTGTGTGTTCCCTTAAAGGAGTATTTCATAATCAGTGGTCCGTGGGACTCGTGAAAGCTTTTTAAAGGACCTCGAAATGTTCAAATAACTGATATCCAGCCCACTTCCTTATTGTTGCTTTTCACAGAGCATGTGCTCTGAAGTCTAATGTTTCCCCACAGCAAGGCATTGTTTCCTGTCTTGAGTTCTACTTTTGAAGAGGTCATTTTTTAGTGTTTGCAGGCAGCGATGACAAGAATAATGACATTTTAATGATGGGAAAGTCAACAAGTTAGCCATTAGAAGGAACGACGGGTTGAGCTGAATCACCATTTGAGGCGTTTTGTACGATGAATGCATCAAAGTGTTGTCACCTGTGACTGAGGTTCTCTTTGCAACAATACGCCCTAAAAGAACTTGTGCTAATAAAAGATGACTGAGTTTACTTTTATGGATTACATACTTTAGTGGAGATGTGATGATATGTTAAAAAAAAAACAGAACACGAAGGATGAAACTAATAGTGAAGTATAATTCTATATACAAAACAAAACATTAAGCTCCACTTGAGAAAAAGTCAGGGAGTAGAAATAGATTTTTCAAGAGCAACTTAAACGTTTCTGAGCCTGCATTTATCTCAAGCAATTTGAACCTTTTTATGTTCGGATCTTGGAACATTTAAAGTTCTGCCTTAGCACTCCAGATGAAGAATAATGATGTAAAACTGCCCGCTGATGGGAAAAGAGCATCAAAGGCCTTAAATACTAAGAGTAAAACCTTCAATTCAAGGACCAAAGGCCATTGAAGATGCCAACACTGGTATAAAATGCTCAAGCTTTTTTTGTAAGCAAATCCATATAACAGAAACATACCTGCGTGTAGGATCCACAGTATGTTTGTAAGTTGAAATGAATAGTTTCTTCAAAATCTTTAAAAAATAAGTTTGGCTTTACACTAAGAATTGTAATTGAACCCTTTTTTTTTTTTTTTTTGGACAATTGAACACATTTGTTAAAAAAATTTAAATCTTATCCAGAACTCTGCTAAGTGTTTTAATGAATTCCTAATGTGACAGATGAGGTCCAACAATAATTTCAGTATCAACAAAACATGACTGACCAAATAAACTGACTTTCATTTAGTTTTTAGTAAAATTATGGAAATGGACATTTTCTATTGCCTTGGTGTCATTTAGATAGTCCAGTTATGAGTTTAAAAAACAATAGGTAAGTAGATTTGAAAATTGTCTGCAAAGCACCAAAGGAGAATATCAAATGTTATAAAAATGGACCCAAAGACAACTTGTAGATTATAATACAGCAGTGGGCTCAAGATGGAGCCGTGAGGAACTCCATATGTAAGTAGAACTGCAGCTGAACAATATGAACGGAAATACTTAACTGTCAAAAAATTTACAAAACAGAAAACATTTTGACAAGAAACACAGCATTGAAACTGAAACACACATTTTCGACAAACACCCACACGACAAAACAACAAAACCCCAATAGAAACATGAAACAGAGCACAAAAACAGAGCGATTTTTTTATTCCACAAAGCGCAACCTTTCCGAAATACAATATTTAAATAAATAGCATGAAAACAGACTATGCACAAAACCCAACAAAACCAGGAATCAACTAAATAAACAAAACCCAATATTTAAAATCACTGAATTCTACATTCAGATGTGTTTTTTTCTGATTATTGCTAGTTTATTTTCCAATTCATTGCTGTCTATGGAAGCCTAGAGAGGACATTCTTACACATTTAATATTGTGACATTTTCTCAAATACCAACCCACTCATGATAACAAAGCGTATTTATTTTGTTCAAATAATGCTTTACCTGTGTCAAGTTGAGGTACTAAAGGTTTTTTCTTTGAGATTAGGGGTCATTTTGTTATTTCAGTGTAGAAAAGCTCTTTTTCTTGTGTGAGAGGAGTATCAGTGTCCTTGAAGCTCTGTGTCAGACTCATAGGTTCTCTACAGGTGATTTCTTTACAAGTCAAGCTTTAGAAGGAAGCAGAGGTTTCTGGTTCACATGTTGCTCCCAGAGGACTGAAACGTGGCAGGAACAAGAGCAACATTAAGCCAAACAAAATGAAACAAATCAACTCTTTTGTTACGACAGTCCTTCCCCAGAAGTGACTTCTGGGCTTCAAAACTGGGTCAAGATGGAAATGTGAAAAGTTTCAGGAAGATCATGCAACATGGAGAGAACATGCAAACTCCACCCAGAAAGGCCCCTGGACCGGGGTTTGAACCAAGGACCTGCTCGCTGAGAGGCAGCAGCTCTACCAGTTGCGCCACCGTGCTGCCCCCACTTCACAACATGTTGCAACAAATTGCATCAAATCACATCATATGGCTATTGCAAGGCAATGCACATTATTCATAATGCTTTGTTACATAATGCATCTAAACGTGTTGCAGCGGTGACGCGTAACAAAAACGCGACGCGTCAGCAGTAACACAGAATAGATGTGACTTATATGACAAAGCAATGTATTTATGTTTTTTCCACTTTATTAGACATATTTGGACTGATGCGACTTAAACGGAGGTACAACGTATATGGCGGCAAGTAGGGTAGTAGTTTCATTCAGGATATCTACTCTCCAGCCAATTTTTAATCCATACTGCTAATTTTATGGCATCGTCTAAGTCCTTTGGTTCATCTCAAGAGGGAAGTTGGCCCTTAAGAGAGTCGGAAAGAAAATCATGAAATAAACTTTTTAAAGCTTATCTAATCAACCTGGTCTCTTTTGTGATGATGGGGAAGTGGATGGAATGGTCCGCCACCAAGTGAGGAGACCAAGTTCCAACAGTTGTTTGGCCCCGTCATCCTCCTGGAGCGGATGGTCAAACACTTTTCTAAATTCAGAGAGAAACACATAATAAGATGTGAAGTAGAAGGTTGGGCAGGCTTTAGACAACTTTAGAGTTATATTTTGTCCATACCAGATTCATTTGATGCTGCTGCCCATACAATCAATCAACCTTTATTTATACAGGTAAATCCCATTGAGCCTCGAGGACTCATTTACAAGAGAGACCTGATTTCAATAAAGAAAGAAGAC